AGCTCGGTGAGTTCAGCCAGGAACGCCGGCAGAATTACCAATGATCCGGAAGGACAAAGGTTGAATGGCGAACGGGAGAAAGCTGATTGAGATGGATGACAAAAAGTCACATGATGCAAAGAATGAAAGCTGGAATATTATGTTAAAAAGGGAGGAGCTGAAAGAGTTGGGGCATATTTGTTTCTATGGCGACCCCAGTATACCCACGCTGCATTGTGCTTGGCTTTGCAAACTGTGGGTCAGAAAGTTGCATGTTTGGAATACCACCAGGACAGGTTGTGATTGGTTCAGCAAGTCTGGGTTTGGAGGGGGGAGGGAGGGACAAAGTTGACATGAGGATCTGGTTTGCTTATTGAGTGATGAAAGACGGACAGAGAGTGGGAGGGCACGGCTGACACTGATGGATGAATAGATAGACAGATGAAACAAAAAGACTTTTAAGTCATAACATTAAACAGTCACGCTTAACTAAGCTCACGGTGCAGCTCCCATGTGCTGTGATGTGCCACCTCCCTCGTGGAGTCACATACTGTAGCTTTCACACATATATCTTGAAAGAAACCGCTCCCTTATGTCTTTCATTATACTGTTAACACCTCTCACTTTTCCCTCTGGAACAATGGACACACTTACACACACACACACACACACACACACACACACACACACACTCACACACTCATAGTCAGTGTGGCTCTTTTTCAACTCCAAAACTCCAGTGTAAAGGAGTAATACCCCTTCTCTATGTGAGAACAATAGAGAATAAAAAAAAAGCCCCACCCTGCCTGTCTCACCCCTTGCTCTGTACCCAGGGCCTCGGCCCCTGCTCTGGGCCTCGCTGTCCACTCTAAGCCCCTGTATTAAGCAGGGTCTGGTGCTGATGAATAGAACCCAGCTCAGCCTCTGCTCAACTCAATAATCCAGGCTTGGACGAGCCGATTAGGTGGTCCCTACATTCCGGTTCACTCATCTGTGACGTAGGCCAGTCCCCTTTTGGGTCACACCAGTGGCGTGTGTAAAACCTGGGAGGAAAATAACCATGTTTATGTGCTGTGTTGGGCCTCTGAGAGACAGGTTAAGTAGACTAGAGCTCCTGTTTTTAGTTGCAGTGGTCAGATATGTGGAGTTTGTCTTGCAACAGCATTTTTAGACTTTAAAATAGATCTTTAAACAGAGTGATGCATAGCATCCGACTATAGAATTTAAAGCGTATAAGGCAGCTTCTTACTGGGTGCCGGTGTGTAAAATTCTCCGGTGCTGACTTGGCGATTGTCCGACCTTTGATCCACATCGCGGCCTCTTCGCCTCTGAGCTCCGGAATTCCACAGGGCGATAGAGTGCAGAGATGAGAGGGTGATGGATGGATGAAAGGAGGGGGTAGAGGTGCAGAAGAAAGCAAAACGCTGGCCAGAGAGATTAAAGAAGAGAGATTAGACTCATGCTCCTGAAGAGGCTCCAATAAATCAGGAATTCCTTCTTTGGAGAGAGGGAAGAGTAGCCGGGAACAGTCTGTAGTCTATTTTTCACCACAGTCACTCTCACACATACACACACACACACACACTTGACCACTTGATAGTCCCTCACTGCTATCTTCATCGTTCATTATTGGCATTCATTATCTACCTTATCACAGCTGAAACACACTCCCAGATTCCTCTGAGCCCTGCAAACGCAACACACACAGACTCCAAAACAAACAATCCCATATTTAAATACCTCAGGCTGAGACAGACACGCATGCACACAATCCTCGCTGCATGTCTGCCATAGCTCCACAAATCATCCTTAACTAGAGAATACAACAACTCCTCCATGCTGCTGCTTCTGCTGAGGCTCCAAGTGTCGCCGTCATTAAAAGAGAGCATCCTAGGATAAACAATGGGAATAAATCAGCCTATTGACACACAGAGGGAAACAGTCAGCAAGAGGGAAATAACAAGGGACACACACTGGGGGAGACAGAGGGAAAGAGGATTTTGTCTGCTGAAGTGAAGGTGGCATGATTTGACTTTGCTAGCTAAACCTTTTCACACAGAGGCCGGAGCTCTCTTTGAAGTGCGTTACTCCGATCAGTTAATTAAGCTGATGATGTGGAACGTTTCAATGCAGAGGCGTTAGAGGGGAACAAAAGGCAGCAGGATAATTAAAACTATTTGCCATTAATAAAAGGCGCTAGCCAGCCTCCCCGGGTGCGTATTCAGCCGCTGTCCTCTCTGCTAAGTGAGGTATTCCATCAGCGCGGGCGCATTGTGAATAGAGACACTGTATGAAACAGTGGCATTGATAAAGCAACTGTAGCGCTCACACAGAAACACTTACTGAGAGAAACTTCAAAAGCCATTCCCAACTCAAGCCCTTTGACCCCCCCCCCTCCCCTCCCACGCCTATTCATACCCTCTGCCCCCCCCCAAACTCTCAGCCTAAAGGGGCTGGGAAGTGGGGAGCACGAGGGCATAATTACCCCCCTCCGGGGCAACTTTAATACCCTTTTTTGTGTTTTAATTGTACCCCCCTTCGACCCCCTTTTGATGAACACATTGGGACCATACCACAACCAGTTTGTAATCAGGGCGAGGGTGAGGGTGGGAGTGGGTGCAGGGAGTTTGTTTGTGTGTGTGTTTTCAGTGTTTGCGAGGGGATGATAACTCTGTCAGGCAAAAGCAGACAACAGTGTTTGTTCAATAGTGTTATCGATTCGACTGGAATTGAAAGTGGCAGGGGGAAAAAACACTTTAGCGCCAATCTGGTAAACAGAGCGTGGCAGGCAAACTGCAGATAAGCATTAAGCTGTCTGGACCATGGCAAAATGATAATTATTGCTCTCTACCCCCTGAAAGTTGGCTGGAGCACACTATTATCAGCACAGTTAGATGGAAGTTTCATCAGTATACTAAAAAGGTGCTTGTTTTCCAACGGCCCCGTGTTGCTGTTGTAATGGTGTTGCCTGCCGGCTAATCTGGTCATCAGTATTGAGGGAATGCAGTCAGGCGGAGAGGGGGAAAGAGATGGGGGGTGGGGGTGGCGGTAGGCGGGTGTGTGGGGTGGGGGGCAGGAGTCAGGGCCCGGGGTTTGGAGCCACAGCGTCTGTCCTTTTTACCAGGGGGTACCAGGGAGACCCCTGGCAACAAACAACAACACCAGCTAACGAGCGTCGGGGGCCCGTGCCTGTGCACTTTGATCGTTAGTCACACATATGGACCGTGTCACACAAAGTCAAACTCACCAAATGCTACTTGTTACATTTTAGGAGGTTTGATGAGAAAACACCAGTTTTTTCAAAGACAAATCCACTTGAGGAAAGAAATGCCCTCAGTGGCTTTTTTCTTACTGAAGGTGTCAGTTTAGCACTCAGTAGGCTTTTTATTTCAGAACTAACAACTCTGTGAGATCTGTAGATCTGATTAAATAGCAGCCGGTAATTTAGCTCAACACTCGCTGGCTGCCTCTTCTTTGAGCTGCTGAAAGCCTGCCGAACCATGCATGTATTCATTGCAAAAGCAACAAAACCCTATATTAGACACACATTCTCCCTGTGTGTTGTGAAAATATTTGAGTCTGTTGAATTTCATCCATTCTCAGGGAACCCCTGGTGATCTAGAACAGTAGGAGACGGTAAACTGATAGGCATCGCCTGGGAGCTCAGTACCAAGGGAGGAGGTGTGTGTGTGTGTGTGTGTGTGTGTGTCCGTTTGTGTGTGCGTGTGTGTGTGTCTGTGTGTGTGTGTGTGTGCGTGTGTGTGTGTGGGTTCGGTGGGTGCAAATAGTAGGTAGCTACTGCTTTGGGTTGTTGATAGATGGGAATAACTGGGAAGTGTGTGTGAGTTTGTGTGTGTTGCCAGCGGCCAGCTACCGCTCCAGGCCGGTGATAGATGGCTTTGGCTGAGAAGAGAGCATTAGCTGTGAGCCGCCCCTGGAGCAGTCACTCAGTCAGGGGGAAGGGGACAAAGCTGTAATGCTTTTAGTGACGATTCCCTGGAGATAAACTCATAATATCTTTGAAAGAAAATCCAGAAGGAGGAAGGAATTATGGACAGTTGGGATGAGGCCAATTTACTCTGCCTCAGGGTTTGCTAAACTGTTTTTTAGATTGGCTAAACTTTGTCTCTGCGCTGTGTATATGTGGACATTAGAAACAGGCTGAAATGCCAAAATGTTTTCCCTGGGTGCTCTTTGACCCAGGCCTAAGAGGAGAGGGAGGACATTTGGTTTACTTAAAGACCATCGTAAAGAGGGTGGAGAGGGTGGAGGAGTGAAGGGAGGGATGCAGGGAGGAATGGAGGGGAGGCAGACAGTCTGACTGTGTCTCTCTGTGTTTGTAATGAGAGGGAGTGTGGTGGGAGACAGTTACAGGCCGTCACCAGACTCATGTTGTATTCGTCTGCTTGTCTCCCTAACCCTAATGTATGGGCTAAAACATATGCGACCTTTATTTTTAACCATGACCCAATCTCAAGTAAACTCAGGTGCGTTTTCGCATTTGTCATTATGCATTCTGTTTGTGCGTGTGTGCGTGTGTGTGTGTGTGTGTAGCCCAGCAGATGTCGATATCCATCTCCTGTCTTGACGGGCTAACTGACTGCTAATGTTTCTCTGTAAACATCATTCAACTCCTGTGGGACATGGGATCAATGTGCACTCAGTGCTAACTCTGAACACAGCAGCAAGCAGCAGCAGCTACACTGGCCTCACGTTCATCCATATTTATGCGCATGTTCTCTGCAGATCACTCTTCCCCTTATTGCGTTTTCCCTCTTCATTCCACCCCAATACACACATACATCCTCACACACAAACACTCACTCTTTCCTGCTCTCTATCTCTCATTCCCAGGCCGCTAAGTCTTTCCTCTGATTTCCCTGTTGTACACTGGCGTGTAGCCGATCAATATATAATCACAGGTTTTGAGGCTTATATTTATTACCGCTCTGTTGCTATAACCACGGTTATCAGTCTCCTGCCACTTGTGTAACTGTTCTCCTCTGCCTCCTTCCCCGCAGGTTTCTATGGGACGACTATGCTGTAGAGGTGAAGCTCAATGACTACCTGGACATCGTCTGCCCCCATTACCCGGAGGGTGAGGTGCCATTGCTGGATGCTGAGCGATACGTGCTCTACATGGTGGAGCGCGAGGACTACGAATCCTGCAAGCCCCAATCATACGACCAGATGCGTTGGGAGTGTGGCCATCCGTTTGCCCCTCACGCCCCTGAGAAGTTCTCTGAAAAGTTCCAGCGGTTTACTCCATTTACTCTAGGAAAGGAGTTTCGTCAAGGAGAAAGCTACTATTATATCTGTAAGTGTCACTTTAGCTTTCTCACAGATTTGTCACTGTGTTTGCCAGATTTGTCAGAGTTTACATCTATACTAGCAGGTCTGCGCTAATGTCAACTCACTAACGTGTCAGAATGTGCGACGTCAATGTGCTGATGTTTGAACGGTGATTGAATGGATCACCAATGACAGTCCATCCAAGAGTTATCAACACATTACACTCTAAACCTCATCATAGAGGCAAAAGAGATCAGGTGATCACCAAAGTCATTACAAATCACAATGTGTACAACATTTAATGGCTTTCCATCCAATATTATATCATTTTTGAGAGGTTTCGATTAGAAACTGTCGTCACCCCCCCCCCCGCAGGCCCGTGCCACTGGCATGGCTAAAAATCTCTGCCCTCATAAGGAAGTCTGACGAGGGCAAAGCTCTGTGGTTTTTTTGTATGTTTGTGTACTAGCTGTGATATGCTGGGGTTTGGTGGCCAGCTCCGTGAGCTTTGCATGGACGTGAACTGGGGTGTCAGCTCAGTTTGCCAAGTTTATACAATATACTTCCCTGCTAGAATGTGACCACAAAGAGCAAGCAATGTTGTCACCCTGACCATGGCTGTAATTAGCTAAACGGCAGGACAAGACACACTCTGCCTGGTCACAGATGGCTACCTAAAGCTTTGTCCCTGCGTCTGCCTGCTGCCAAGTGCGCGCGTGTGTGTGTGTGTGTTTGTGTGTGTGTTTGTGTGAAGGTAGATTAAGGGGCCAGAGGAGGATAAGTGCATTAGTTAGGATGTTGACGCCTGTGTTGTTTCTTCCCTGTTCCCTGCAGCCAAACCTTTGCACCACCATGGACAGGAGTGCCTCAGGCTCAGGGTGGACGTCGTGGCCGCTGATGGTAAGTTTAACCGCCCTCCTGGATGTAAGGCGAGCAGCGTAATCACCTGTAATCGTCGTGGTAGCCTATTGCAAGATCCAGCAGAGAAATTGATGGGATTTTTCTTTTCCTTCAGGCTCTCAAGAGGCCAGAGTGGCTAAAGGAGGCACAGGCGGGGCTGGAGTTGGAGCCGGGGGTGGGGCTCACAACCCATCCAACAGACTGCCAGCAGGTATGTTGACCAACCCTGCGTCCTCTCTAATTATCCCTGACCTTAAAACAGTCCAGGTACACTCAGGATTACATTGGGGTGTAAATATGTGGTAGTAATGTGTCCTCTTTATCTCCCATCCTCAAGCAGATGACCCAGTGGTAATCCTGCCAGACGTCCAGAAGAGTGTACGGACAAACTCCGCAGTGGCAGCTACATCCCTCTCAATCCTCTCATTGCTAGTCCCATTTTCGTTACTGCTGTTGTTGCACTGAGAGCACATGAAAGGACTGCTGTTGGCAGACTTTTTTTTTTCAGGGACTACAATGAAGATAGTCTGTGGGGATGAGACCACTGACTCAAAAAGACATGCCCAGTGCTGGCCACAGGGAGAGAGTTTTGAAGCTTGCAAAGTACGGATGGACTCACTTGCACAACATGTGCTGAGTAATTCAGAGCATTTGAGGCGAAGTATGTGTGCTTCGTCTCATTTTATTCAAAAGGTGACGGTATTTTTTTCTTGGAAAGACCAAGCTCTCCTTGAAATGTATTTTCAGGGGCTCTCTCCAAAGCACATTGGATGATAATCCTCGAAGAAAATATGAAGAAGCGGAAGAAAAAGTGGCCGAAGAACAATCAAAAGCAAAGACACCAACTCTGTTTAGAATTATATAGATATAAATTTAGATGGGAATAAATCCGCATGGAAAAATAATCTCTTACCTTTTGAGCCAAAGATCAGTCATCTCTCCAAACTTGTACACTATTCCACCCTTGAGTATTGTGTACTATCTGTTGTATTGTTATCGTAATGGTATTGAGTGGCATTGATGTCCCAAGTGATTACTTTCTCTAAATGTAGCATTGACAAACACGGGGGCTGTTCTCATCACAACCATTCCTTTGCAAACTCCACCATGTGCTTATATACTGTAGCACTAATACTGCACAGTACAGACACACTAACACACACTCCACATCAGTGTTACACGCAGACACACACACAGACATCGGGCGGTGAAACACATGAAAACACATACTACATTGAACTGTGTTACTTGTACATTCTGTGAAGATAATTTATAACGTTTGCAGCTCAGATGTTTTACTGTATATAACCATGTGATTATGAAAGGAAACGTTGACTGTTGGCAACGGGGGGGGGGGGCTTTTTCTCTCTCCCTCTCTCCTGGTAGAGTTAGTACTTGTGTGAAAGGAAAAATGTGTGTATTGAAGTGAGAGTAAGAGAATGCACGCGAGCTAGGGAACGATTGATTGAAAGCGTGATGGGACAAAATGTTTTTCTGCCAAAAGCAAACACTGAGATGTTGTGTGTATTGCAGAGAGGCGGGACTTCTCTGTTTGTTGGATCTTGCCCCTGTATTGGTTAAACTATCTGACATGAAGAGCTGGTATCACGTCTTTTTTTTTTTTTTTTTTTTTTTTTTTTTTTTTTAACAGCAGGATCCACCCCCTGTGTATCATGGTGCTTTCCTTCATGTTCCCAACCCCAGGCAGAAAACATGCAAAAAACAAAAAACAAAATAACATCTAAACACAAAGTGAAATAATCAGTTATTTAGACTTTCAGAATAATCATCACAGTTCTGGATTTTTTGAAAACGTTATAGTCACCAGTTCACAACAGACAAGACACAGCATCAAAGCGAGTTGCCAAGCACATCTTCACCTGACAGGCTGGCTTGATCAACAAAGCACAACCGTGTACGACTACCATTGAAGTCAGTCTTTTTTTTAATCTGAATTCTTGTTACCTAATTTTGTACATGTGTAAGTAAGAGAAGTGTATAATATGTATATATATGTATAGAAGATTATATAAAAGACCTGTTTGATAAATATGCTAAATGTGAACATTTCATGTGAAATAAAAAAACGATATTTTTGGAAAGCCAGAACAGCTCTCTTGTGATTACTTTTAGCTAATCACGTCATGGCTACCATGAGTTTAGGCATAGTGACATTAGTAGCAGGTCCATCGAAGGGAGGTATTAAAATGCCCCTTCTTTTTTTGTATCTCTGTGAGAAGTGTACGTTTTCTAGGTGGTTTCCTGTATTGTGTCGGCTGTCCTGGAGTAATTTGTGTGTAGGCATATTGATCTGTTGTGTCAGAGGATTTGGATCAGATTCAGACACACTCCGGCATGAACAAACTAACGTTCAAATGCAGCTTTCAACCAACAGCAACACTTTAAAAGTGTGCTACTGTCATGAGTGAAAGGCATAAAATGTTCAACAGACATGGTTCCAAAAGAATTGGTTGTAATGACTGGTGATCCTCTGACTCTCCCCTTGGCTCCACCATGGGACCGGATATTGTAGTGTTGAGTGAACCGTCTCAACAACTATCAGATGGATTGAAATCCAGCCAATAGATCCTCCTCAGGATGAACTGTAATAACACTGGTGATCATTTAACTTTTCATCTAGTGCCATCATCAGGTCGTAATGTTAACTTGTCTAATATTTTAATAATACATTACCATCAGCCCCAGCAGTGCTTTGCATTTAGTATTAATTAGCAAGTGTTAGCATGCTAATACAAGATGATGATCATGGTACACCTGCTAAACTTCAGCATGGTAGCACTGCCAATGTGAGTATGTTGCCATGCTAGCTTTAGCATTTAGCTCAAAGTACAATACAACTAGCAACTAATGCTGTGGATTCTTAGTCTTGATTATATGTGTTTTTGGATAAATGCCTTCAACACAGTCCAATAATCCACTTTCCCAGCACCATCATCCTCTTAAATGAAATACCTTTTTTTTTCTTGGACCTATGGTGATCCTGGTGTAAAAAAGCTTTCAGGAAACCCAACCCATTTCTCCTTTTGTTTAACAACGGGAAGATTCCCACAGAGGAGTCAGTAACACAGATAATGGCCTCACAAACACTAATGTGACAGGAGTTTAACCGAATCAAGGTCAAGGTGGCCAGAGCCAGGAAAAGACTACAATGCAGAGATAAAGGGGAAACAAGGAGAGGGCAATGTTTATTATCACCATGAGGGTTGCCTTTTGGCATGAAGACTAAGTACACAGGTGTGATGCCTGTACTGTCTTCACACCCCCAACCACCCCACCCCCCACCCCCCAAACACTCACAAACACACACCTCCTTATATGATTCTTTGCTCATCTGCAAGTTGCCTGACGAGCCATTGTTCTCATCTCTCCTTCTCTTGCCTCTCCCTTCCCAGGGGAGCTTTATGGCCGTGACAGTAAAAACAGCTGTAGCACCAAAAACTGGTGCCACAGGGATGGCCATAAATTAGAAATGGCAGACGGGCCCCTTAACCGTCCAACCCTAAAAAGAAGCTCCACTGAGTAGTAGCTCGTCAAGGGGAGACAATTCTTTTTATTTACTTGCTTGTTCTGTGTACCAGCTTGAGTAAATGTGAAGAGCAAGTGTGAAACCTTTAACGCTGCAGTAAATGTTAAGGGCAGTCAGGAGATAACAGGAGCAAACATGGAGCATGGAAATCGAGAACATCCTCAGGACAAAATATTTGCAGGCTTAAGAGAGGGAAAAAGATATAAAATGTCTGCATAAGATTTGAAAGCCTTATTTCTTAGCTGGGAAAGAGAGTTTGAATCGAAATCTGCGCATGTTGAGATGATTGTTGAGGATGAACAATGCCTTGAGCACAGAATTCAATACAGTGTGTATTAAATCTAGCTTCAGTTTGTGCCTCTCATGTGTAGCTATCACTTTTGAGTCACAGCATTCGATCTTTGAAAAACCCAGACGATTGATTTACAACACCCACTGCTTCTTTGACGCGGTCTAACCATCTGGAGGAAAAGAACATTTCATCTGCAGTATGATACAAAGAATTCTAACCAATTTCCAGAGTTGTGACTATATTTTCTATCCAGGTAGCTGGAAAAAGGCATATCTCCTTACTCATTTTGTATAAATACAGAAAAAAACATTATTACCTCCAACAAGGAAGTTATGTTTTCACCTGTTTCTCAACAGGAATACACAAAAATTACTGAACTGATTTGCACCAAACTTGGTGGATAGATGGGGCATGGGCCAGATAAGAATCCATAAATTTTGGTGTGAATGCAGTCAAAGGGGCGCTCCAGGAATTTTAACATACAAGATAGGGCATTTGTTAAAAATTTCGCATTGTGTGGCCTTGGTGGAGGAATGTTCTCTAATGAGTGACATTCTAGTTGTGTATGAAAATTGAAAAAAAAAAAATACAACATAATGTTAATTTTAATTTTCTATTTAGACAAATATAACTGATAATAACATTTTTCACATTTTCTTTTTATTAATTCAGTTTATTAATTCAGTTCATTTTATCAAAGGAAATGGAAATACCATCAGAACAGCAGTGAGTGTTGTTCAAGGACCATGTTAGTTTTCACACAGAGATCACAGAACATTTATTTTTCTGAAAAATGAATTCTTATCTATGTGACTCAAAGGCGATGTCAGTACATGAGAGACACAAACCAGGACTTTATTAAATCAAACATTTCCCAACAAGCAGAAAAACAAGGCAATAAATTTATCAATTTATCAGTCGTCAGCGTTTAACAAAGCAAGAGCTGAGCCAACCGTGTGTGACACTAAAAACTGGGAGGAGGCCATGAGACACAGCAAGAAAGATCCACAATTCCGAGTAGGTTTGGCATGGGCAGCTGGTCTATCTCCACATCTCTGGACTGAGTCAGGCATCACTATCAGCAGGACACATGATGACCAGTCTCTGTCTGCCTGCTAGCGTATGTTATACTCAGAAGAGCCAGGAGTATCTGCCTTACCGGGCCTCTGGGAGGTTATCTAATGTTATTGTAGCTATTTGTAGCATTTATAAGCTTCCATGCTGCCCTAGAATAGGAACCCGGTGTCCTGTAAGTATCAAAGCAGCTGTTTATGAGCAGCAAAAAAACAATAGGCTGACCCATGAGTGACTTCTTACCCTCGTTCACATCATTTTTATGTAGTAATGATGCACTGCATGTTCGGATTAAATGTCATTTTAATGTAGCAGCATGTTTGGAAGCCTCTTTATTCCCCCGTCTGCCTCAGTGCCTGTAAAAGCTTTAGATGACAGCAGGGTCAGCCAGGGCTGATGGGAAGGAAACACCTTGGTTATACAGGATAAGATGGAACCTCTGGGCCAGTCAGGGCTCATTTTGGTCCGCTGCCATCACCAGCGGTCTGGGTGTGGTCTTCCCTTCCCGAAAAAAGTCTTTTCACACACTCTTGGCCGTCGCCACTGCCAGGGTCATCTGTCTTGCTCCAGCTCATGCTTTGGTTTCCTGTGTCACTTAGTCACTCTAACTTTTTTTTATTCATTCTCACTTCCACACTTCTTTTGTTCTGCTCCTTCTCCTCATTCATTCTCTCTGTATCTATCTCCTGTTTTGATTTGTGCTCATGTCACTCTCTCAAGCTGTCATTGCTGTTCACCCTTTCTGTATCTGTATCAAATCTCCATCTCTGTCAGCTCTGGACCTCGATTACGATCTCCATCTGTCTTTCTGTCCATCTCTAGTTGGGTTTGAGGTTTTGCTGTGAAATGTGTGGGTGGGAAAAAAAAGTCTTTTCTGTGCAGAAAAATGATAACCTATCATTTTACAGTCTTGGTTCTCAGCCTGTTGAGATGGATTTGCTCCCAGCAGTGTCACTGAGTGTCTCTAGAAATGTTTTTTTTTAGTGTCTCGAGGTCTCAGTGGGGCCATGCTGCGGGCACAACCCCATGGCCTGCCCAACTCACTGTCTAAATCCCCATTAGGTTTCCTCTCGTTTTTCGGCTCCTCTACCAATTCAGCCGACGCCTCTCACCTTGCCACTTTGGAGCAGGAAGTGAAGAACATTCTGTGCACGTTTATCATCTTTCTCAGCCTCCCTCCCTGTCAAAACCCTCTCTCTTGCTTAAGACAGGCAGAGCAATTATGAAATGCTGGGAAGTGGCTCTTAACCCCCAAACAGAATACAGGCACAAAACTGCGGCCAGAGGATTGTGAAGTTACCACTTAGACATGTTACATCATTGAGAGATTTAAGATTACCTTGATACATGATTAACAGAATTTATGTGATACATGAACAAATACATTTTATTTAAATTTCAATTAATTTAGATAATTCAGCTCAATATGATTAACATGAAAAACAACTGAACCTCAGCTTTGTTTTTGTATTATTTCAAGTGAGATCTAGGTCAGCTTTTAGCTTAAAGTGATCTGCTACCGTCAATAATATATAAAGCTGTAAATGAATAAAATGTAAATAAATAAATCAAGGGCATAGGTTTGCATGTGGACAGTAGGGATATGTCCCTACCAATATTTTGGGAGGTCAGAATTGTCCCTACCAATATTTGAGTGAACTTGTTCTCACAATGTTCTTCCCGCAGTCCAAAGACATGCACATTAGGTTAATTGCAGACTCTAATG